TATCCTGCCTGGCAGCCTCTGGTTTCTTTGTGTGTCTGGAATCCTATTGAATTTCAGCAATTTCCATTAATTACATCTAGAGTTATGGCCCTTGTTTCACTTTGTTGAATCTTGTGAACGCTCTAATGACAACAGTTATCATCCGATCTGTTTGAAATTGATATGCATCATTTAAATTAGTGAAACGAAGAAGCCTATTGAATTTCAGCAATTTCCGTTAATTACGCCGTTAGTTATGGCCCTTGTTTCACTTTGTTGTACCTTGTAAATGCTCTAAGTCTAACGACAAAAGTTATTATCCGATCTGTATGAAATTTATATGTATCATTTAAAATAGTAAAACGAACAAGCCTATTGAGTTTCAGCAAATTTCCGTTAATTACATCTAGAGTTTTGGCCCTTGATTTACTTTGTTGAACTTTGTGAATGTTCGAACGACAAAAGTTATCATCCGATCTGTATGAAATTTATTATTTGTATTAGTAAAACGAAAAAGCCTGTCGAATTTAAAAAATTCTGTAGATTACTTCCAGACTTGTGGCCCTTGTTTTAGTTTTTAGAACCTTGTAAACCCTCAAACGGCGAAAATTATAATGTCATCTGTATAAAATTGTCTATTAAATTCCCCTAATTACCTACAAAAGAATAAATATGTGACAACCCTTGTCGACTTCTCAGACGATTTAGCTGCTGTGGCGCATGTTTTGTTGCCTGGCAACCTATCTTGTTAATATTTAGTCTCTAAATTTGGCAAAACAAACCCAATGCCTAGCTTTCTTTGCCTCTTGTCATATTACAGTCATTGCAGCTATTTCATATTTCATTCTCTTCATTTTAAAAAGTACCATATCAATGAAAGCAGGAATGTGGACGTATATTGCAGCATTAGCGATGCTCTAGTTTGGAATAATATAGTACTTTTACTAATGATTTATTGTTTGGTGGAACCTTTTAATAACCACCTGTTTCATGTTAATAGTTTGTGAGGTTGACTACTGGTGACGTGTACTTGATTTCAATCAAGAGATGAAGGGTAGTCAATAATGTTTCTGATTTAAATAATGTATATTTGCTTTGATGTGATTTATGGCGGTCCAGCGTTCACAATTGCTTGTGGACATTCTAGAGGCTAAAGTTAATATCCGATTGACTTTAAATTTATACACAGTGATTTCCAATGATTTCCAATAATTACTACCAGAGTTATGGCCCTTGATCAATTTGAAAAATCTTGTGGATGCTCTAGAGACCAAAGTTATCATCCGATTGACTTTAGATTAATAAACAGAGTTTATCCAATTTTCAACGATATCCGATAATTACTGACAGAGTTATGGCCCTTGACCACGTTGAAATATCTTGTGGACGCTCTAGAGGCTAAAGTTAATATCCGATTAATTTTAAATTCATACACAGTGTTTAAGGTCGTAAGACGAAAAAGCCTGGTGATTTTCAATGATTTCCAATCATTACTACCAGAGTTCTGACCCTTGATCACTTTGAAAAATTTGGTGGACGCTCTAGAGACCAAAGTTAATATCCGATTGACTTTAAATTTATACACAGTGTTTAAATCCATGTGACGAAAAAAGCCTATTGATTTCCAACAATATCCAATAATTACTGCCAGAGTTATGGCTCTTGATCACTTTGAAGTATCTTGTGGACGTTCCACAAGTTAATATCCGATTGACTTTAAATTTATACACAGTGTTTAAGGTCATGATACGAAGAATCCTATTGATTTTCAACAATTTCTGATAATTACTGCCAAAATTATGGCTCTTGATCACTTTGAAGTATCTTGTGGACGTTCCACAGGCTACAGTTATCATTGGATTGACTTCAGATTGATACACAGAGTTTAAGTCTTGAGACGAACAAGTATATTGATTTTCAATGAATTTTTGATAACTTGAACAGCTAAATCCATGTTATTAAATGTTTCGTATACTAAACATTAGCATGGGGCAGAACTTTATAAAAACCAAACAAATTCTAATGGTTTTCTGATAATTACATAATGAGTTGTTACTCTTAAACATACATTATGCAAGAGCAAAATCGGCCTATTGTAGGTCTTTCTTTAGGCCTGAAATGTTATAAAAACTATTAATTAGACATTAATTAACTTATCCAGACCATAATCAGCTCTCAATGTCAAGGCTTGCCTGCGATATTTGTTGGATTACAGTCCGATTTGCTGCAAAAATTTCCTTCGTGATTATAGATTAAATGGATAATCAAGACTATTAGTTTTGTCTTATCGTCTTCAGTAATGATGATCGAGGCTAAGCGGAACTTTCATCCACTTGGTTCTCGGTTCATAGTGGATCAATTTGACTGAAATTTTCAGCAAGTTGCCTTTACATTATGTAGTTTTTAACTATTATAGTGAGAACTGTCAACGCGTTATCTAATCTCCCATAATGTATCTTTAATCAAATTTTAATGTATTATAAATGTTTCATTACGGAAAAAGCAAAAATATGTGACAGCTATGATATAGCTGCTGTGGGCGTATGTTTCATTGCCTGGCAACCTATCTTTAATTATTCATGTGTGATTTTAAGCGGATGACGGCTATGTAACCAAGGTGGACAAAATTACAGCAAGGTAATTCAGATCACGTGACATCAACATGAAGTTGAAATTCGTTTAGCGCACATAAAGGATCATAAATGATTGGTGTTGAATATATCATCCACAATACAATTCAGTAACTTGCAAGTTATGCACAAAATATGAATACAAAACAAACTAGAACTGCGAGGCAGTAATGACGGGTTTCACTGGTGCCATGTTACCCTTGAACCCTTACCCTTGAACTTATGGTATATCAAGGTTGTAGACCCTCTAGAAATCACAATGTTGATTCGATTTTGATGTGACTTGAAATATAACTTTATAACCCAAAGATCTTGGTTCCCGTCGATATTCGAGCATATGGGATCGTAACTTCCTGAATTATGGCCCTTGATTGTACGAAAAATCGCTTTTTATACACATTGTTTAAGGTCATGAGACAAAGAAGCCTATTGATTTTCAACAATTTTCGATAATTACTGCCAGAGTTATGGCCCTTGATCACTTTGAAAATTCTTGTGGACGCTCTAGAGGCTAAAGTTAATATCCGATTGGCTTTAAATTGATACACAGTGTTTAAGGTCATGAGACGAAGACGCCTATTGATTTTCAGCTATTTCTGATAATTTTTGCCAGAGTTATGACCCTTGATCACTTTGAAAATTCTTGTGGACGCTCTAGAGGCTAAAGTTAATATCCGTTTGACTTAAATTTATATACAGTGTTGAAGACCATGACACGAAGAAGCCTAGTGATTTTCAGCGATTTCCGATAATTTTTGCCAGAGTTATGGCCCTTGATCACTTTGAAAAATCTTGTGGACGCTCTAGAAGCTAAAGTTAATATCCGATTGACTTTAACTTGATACACAGTGTTTAAGATCTTGAGACGAACAAGTATATTGATTTTCAAGAATCTTTATGACTTGAACAGTCATGATGTTAAAAGTTTTGTATACTAAACGTTAGCATGGGGCAGAACTTTATAAAAACCAAACAAATTCTAATGGTTTTCTGATAATTACTTAATGAGTTGTTACTCTTAATCAGATTTTAATGTATTATAGCTTGTTTAGCTTGTTCTCTATTCATCTCTTGCAGAATGTGGGCTTATCCTGCCTGGCAGCTGTGGTTTACATGAGCAGGTGGACAATAGATATATCAAGTTTGTGATAGTCATGCCAGTCAATAAATCTATACGATGATCTGCTCCTAAATACAGAGCTTAATAACCGTGGTCTGATTTCTGCAAAATTATACACGACTTACGACTCTTGCCTATAGCTATCAAACGAGTGTGAATGTCAGATTTTGTCACAAAAATACTATGATTTTAAACAAAATGACCTATTTGACACAAGGCACGTTCAAATAACAAAACGTATAGAAGTAATGATGATGATCAGCAGTCACTTGGAGGTAATCGTTGGTCATTGCTGAAAAGGTGCTGCTTTGGTTAAACTGTGCTGATATAAAAGCTTGCCATGCCAGCCCATACATTTATGCACTTATAATTCAGTTACGCGGCCTTTCCTATAATGACTGCGAACGTCCAATTTTGTCACAAAAACTTCATGATTTTTAACCAAGGTAGTATATTTGGCACAAGGAATGTTCAAGTAACAAAATATAGTACTAATGTTGACAGTAGTCGGTCATCAATGAAAATACCGTTTTTACACATTTTCAGGATATTGCAGCACTCTAGTGGGTTGCGTTCCAGACCTGCAAAGAAGTAGCTACACACGTTTTATGATGGTGTAGTTTTAAACACATGTAAAATGACCACTTTAAGATCACTCACAGAAAATTCCACACGATTCATTCATTCTCTAACGACTGTAGGATTTTAAGTCGACTACTAGGCCTATCATCATACCTGACCAAGATCAAAAATTTAGAGACACAAAATTTCGGGTAGGAGTGTTTTGTAATTAGGGTAAAAAATTGGTCGAAATATGTAAAATTTTGCCTCCCCCCCCCCCAAAAAAAAATTTCAGTTCATTGGGTGACTTCTGTTGCCTATGGATTATCTTTTTTTTTTAAATTCCTACATGGTCCTCTCATGGCTGTTTTCTTAAAATATGTTTATATCCCAAAAATCTGGGTTCCTGTCAATACTTGTGTGTGTTGGACCGTAACTTCATGGATTATGGTCCCTGATTGTACAAAAAATTTCTTTTTTTTTATAGCTTGTTCTCTATACTGTCCATCTCTTACAAAACGTTGGTGTATCTTTCATGGCAGCCACTTGTTAGTGTTTTAACTGTAAAAAGAATAAATATGCAGCAATCCATTTTAAAATAATTTTATGGAAAGATTATGGTAATATTATATAACTGAAGATAGTAGAAGCGTATGTGGTTATAATTATTCAAGTTATCTCTGTCATGATGATATATTTTATTGTTGTAGATATAGGTGTTTAAAGTGTTTTAATTTTGATATGTGTCAGACATGTTTTTTTACTGGTCAAGTACGTGGACGGCACAAACTAAAACATCCTATAGAAGAATACTGTCTAATGGTAAGATAATTATAAAAATTTAAAAAATCGGGCTATGATATATGGTGCAGAGAAAACCTTTCTATTTTGTCTTCTGTGTAAAACTGAATCTCGGCCATATCAAATATATTATCTCTCCTGTCTTTGTACCAAGGGAGTACTGTGAAATATATAATCAAAGTTAAATAAAAATGACAATTTTCATCCCGAAGAGACATTCTAAATCATATTGGGTTGTGAGCTCTTTTCAGTTTAAAGAGAGCAAGTGTATTTATTTTCTTCTGATTGAAAGTCATCACTTAATTACATTTATCTGTTTTAGTCGGCCTTAAAGGATGATACAAAGGCCTTTCTCAAGACAGTGAGAAATAATTTAAGTAAAAAGCATCAAAGGAAGAGTGAAATAAAATATCTTCCAGTGGAGGGATCACAAGAAATGGGAGTAAGATCATGGTGAGATAAAAATAAATTATTTAATTATAGGCCTTGACTTTAAAGAGACATTTTATCAACACTTGCTTTAATGATAATTATCTTTTCATGTGGATGTATATTGTTGTCGCCACTGTCCGTTCGGATGTCCATTCACATTTTGTTTGTAGACACTATACAGGTCACAATTTTGAAACTCAAAATGTATGTTTATTACCCAAAATTACTTGTATGAAATTGTAAATGGCATTATGTATCACACAGTGAAAATTTTATGAAAATCGAATAATAATTGACACTTTTATGGAACTAAAACCTTGAAATGTGATCTGTTGAAAATCGCCTATTTCTCCGCAACTGAACAAGTTAGAAACCATTTTGTGATATCTATATGATCGTATGGGTTCATTCTATTAGTTGATTAGAATCAAATATCAAAATTTTAAACAAACAACAAATACGACTCATTTGAATAAATTATTTGTTTAGAAGGCTATAAATACAGTTTTTGTCCAAATTACGTCATTTAGGGTGACATCGAAAATGTTAAATTGGTTTGACCTTGTTAAAATTGACATTATGCATCAAATGGCGTCATTTTTATGAAAATCCAATGATAATTGACTCTCTTACTGAAATATTTTAAAATATGAAAAGCCTGAATGGGTTGTAAATAGCTCAGTTCATAATCCGAATAAAAACAATAGTGTTTCACACAAGCTACGCAGTGTGAAACCCTAACTAGATCTGCTATTGTCCCATGCAGATATGAAAGCTTTCATATTCATCGTCACGTGACATTGATTATATCAAGTATCTTAAAAGAAAAAAGAACAACAAAAAATAATTATCAAAATCGGTGAAAAAGTCGCGAAGTTACAAGTCTAAATATAGTGAGAAACATTGCACCCGGGCAACAAAATAATCTGGAAACTAAAGGGAAATAACTGAGACTTGGATTGCTGTAATTGGTTGACCGAAATCAAAATTCTCCAGCTATCCAAAAATATAAATGTCTGAAAAATTGGTTAAGAATTAACAGAATTATGGCCGATTTTCAATTTGCGTGCACGTTAAAGATTTGACGCATTTCCGCTATGCGCACAAATTTTGTTTTACATTTAAGCACTAACTACCACCCAGTTTCCTGAGAAAAAATCAAACTTCAGACCTCTATCAATGGTGAAAGCCTAATAAGAATAATAATCCGAACAAAAACAATAGTGTTTCACACAAGCTTTCATATTCATCGTCACGTGACATGGATTATATCAAGTATCTTAAAAGAAAAAAGAACAACAAAAAATAATTATCAAAATCGGTGACAAAGTCACGAAGTTACAAGTCTAAATATAGTGAGAAACATTGCACCCGGGCAACAAAATAATCTGGAAACTAAAGGGAAATAACTGAGACTTGGATTGCTGTAATTGGTTGACCGAAATCAAAATTCTGTTCTGAACGTTTTTTAGGCATTCCTTCAAGGATTCAGAAAATGTAACTCCCATGTCAGTAAGTATAATATCGCGAAATTTTTATCCTTTTAATATATGATAAATATTATCGCGGTGCAGCCAACCGCTGGAAATTCCAGAGATTTTGACCACCGGAAGGATGCCTCAGCAGGCAATAAAAGTCAAAATAGGCGATTTCGGTTTTTAGTGTTGCGGTCATTTTAAAAAATTGTCTTGTAATGATAATGTGTATAGTACTAACACCTATCACATACGGAAGAGGCGATAAGATCCCTTTACATTTGCAATGTCAAATTAATTAAATCAGATCAAAATGGGAGTAAAGCACAGAGTCCGGGGTGGTAATGGGCGTACTGTGTCCAAATTTCATGGTTTTCGTACAATAGGTGCTGGTGTCGTAGCGAAATTCCAATTTTTTCCCCTTACAGAATCCTTAAATTGACGAACGGCAGGAACCGTGTCAAGAACAAACGACATGAACAAATGCATGTATCGCCTTAAAATTTTCAGGGCACCTAGGTACCAGCGTGAAAAGTTCCTAGCCGGAATTTGGTAGTCATGGTACCTTTGGTTCCAGCGTGGCGCATGCGCGAAGTCAAACAAAATTGTGGTGGATTTTGGGTGAATTTCGAAGTGGTTTGGTGGGGTCGGGTGGATCCGCGAGGTCGGGTTGACCTAAGATGACGGTCATAATACATGAACAAGCGTTCATGAATTTTTGCGACCGGGGTTGATTTTCAATGCACATGCATCGTTCCGGTGGTCCGATTGCCTTCAAATTTGCACAGAAATGTACCTTGGGATTCTAGCTATCACATATTAAAAATAGAAGAGAGTGGAATTTCGAGAACGTTTAAAATAAATTCAAAAATTGCTGTATTTTATCGATTTTTTATTGTTCTTGATATCTGAGCATTTTCTCCTGTTAATATGTGATAAATATCATCGCGGCGCAGCCAACCGCTAGAAATTCCAGAGATTTTGACCACCGGAAGGATGCCTCAGCAGTCAAAAAAGGTCAAAATAGGCGGTTTCGGATTTTAGTATCGCAAACATCGTTGCGGTCATTTTAAAAAATTGTCTTTTAAGGATAATGTGTATAGTACTAATACCTATCACATATGGAAGAGGCGATAAAATCCCTTTGCATTTGCAATTTCAAAATCAATTAAAACTAATATTAAATTCCGAAAATCCTTTTTTTTGCTAAAACTCTTTTTTTTTTAATCAGATCAAAATGGGAGTAAAGTACAGAATCCGGTGTGGTAATAGGCGTATTGTGTCCAAATTTCATGGTTCTCAGACAATCCGTTCCGGTGTCGTGGCGAAATTCCTCCTTTTTCCCCTTGCGGAAGCCGTTAGAAAGGCACCTGACCTGGAACCGTGCCAAGAACAAACGACTTGAAGGAAAGTAGGTATCGCCTTGAAATTTTCGGGGCACCTAGGTACCAACGTGAAAAGTTCCTAGCCGGAATTTGGTAGTCATGGTACCTTTGGTTCCAGCGTTGCGCATGTGCAAAGTCAAAAGCAGCTAAACATGTTGTTATGAAGGTTTTTTTTTTTACAAAATGGACCTATCTCTTCGAAACTTCGGCTACTCCCCCATTTCCGACCTCGGCGCATCCAAAAATTGTCTCCAAATTAAAATCGAACACCTAGTTCCATCTCTATTTTTTTGTTTTACTTGATGTACCCCCGGGAAAATTGCCACCGCTCATCCCCCATGGGTCGGGCCCTAAAATTTCTTGTTTGGAATTGTGTTTGGGACCATAAGCCAGATACCCGATGAGTTTCAAGTTGGTGTGCACGATAGTAGGGTTGTGACGCGCATGCACGGGCCTACACTCAAAAACAACCTTGTTGGCGCGGAAAACATCAAAGCGAAATTCGAATTTTTGAAATATTCAAATACCAAACATTCGACCATGAGCCAGGCTATCCTGAAATGTATTAATTTCAGAAATAGGAGACGTATTGAACATACTATGCCCTATTGTGTTTGTTTAGAAGACCGTAAATGTCGATTTTTCGCTATTTTTCATATTCACTTCAAAATGGCGGCCATCAGTTGACCTAAATCAAAATTCTGCTCTGAATGTTTTTTAGGCATTCCTTCAGGGATTCAGAAAATATAACTCCCATGTCTGTAAGTGCAATATCCCAAAAGCTTTAGGGACTTTTCAAGTTTCAAGATGGTGGCATTTCCGGTTCGATCGACAAACTCCATATTTTGTGTATGAATCAGTAATTACTTGTCTAGTATCGAAAAAGAAAATTAGGTCATTCTGACCTATATTTCGATGATTTTTTTGAAAATTTTGATCCTTAATTTCATTAAGTGGAGATAATTTAGCAAATTTCTAATCTTATTTTTGAAAGCGCATCGGTAAGATCTACTTACATGCTAAATTTCATGAAAATACCAGTTCGAAATCACAGTGACGAATTTTCGAAATTCGAAAATCTGAAACTGCAGATTTGAAGTAATTGTCTCAAGGTACTCAAAGAAAAAAGATTTAGTAAAATAGGTCAAATAGTCACAAAGTTACAGCATTGTAGGTCAAATGCATTCGTTCGTAAAATTCGGTGATTTCGGATTCGTAAAACGTTTTGAAAATATTTTTAATCAACAGCCACCACCCATTTTTGGGGGGATAGGTAAAGGTTTTAGAAAGATCCTTTGGTTAGATCCTGAGAAATCCGATTTGTGGACAAAACACACAAAAAATAATAATAATAACTAGATCTGCTACTGTCCCATGCAGATATGAAAGCTTTTATATTCATCGTCACGTGACATGGATTATATCAAGTATCTTAAAAGAAAAAAGAACAACAAAAAATAATTATCAAAATCGGTGAAAAAGTCGCGAAGTTACAAGTCTAAATATAGTGAGAAACATTGCACCCGGGCAACAAAATAATCTGAAAACTAAAGGGAAATAACTGAGACTTGGATTGCTGTAATCGGAATGACTTTCCGTTCCAGAAGTTTCAGAAAAATGGATCAAGCCGTTTAAAAACGGGACGGATGAGAACATGAAACGAAAATGGCGAGTAAGAACTAAAAAGTGGCAGGAAAATATCAAAAAAATAAATGAAATAACTTTGGACGGAACTAATATTTTTTGAATCAGATTGACCTTAGCTGTTCGAATATTTAGGTTAAATTTGTAAATTTTGAAAATTAAAGGCATAAATTGTCCTGCAAACAACTTTGTCGGTACGTAAAAGGTCATAGGCGAAATACAATATTTTGAAAATTTTCTAACACCAAAAAATCGATCTTGATCTCGAGCTATCCTGAAATGCTTTAATTTCAGAAATAAGAGCGCACTGAACATATTACAGCCTATTGTGTTTATTTTCACGTCTGTTCATGTGGATTTTTCACTGTTCTTCATATTCAATTCCAATTCATTGACCGAAAATCTTTTTTTTTGCTAAAACTCTTTTTTTTTATAATCGGATCAAAATGGGAGTAAGGCACAAAGTCCGGGTTGGTAATGGGCGTATTGTGTCCAAATTTCATAGTTTTCGGACAAT